GGTCGGTGACACCTTCGACCCGGAGTCCTGCGAGTTTGGTTGCTTGTTGTGGCTCGATTACCCAGTTGTGCTAACAAAGCGGGTGCGGGCAGCAGGGGCGTTGCACTTGAGCCTTGGTGGTGGCAACGTTCTCGTGGTTTCCTCCCCGGGAGCCCCGGGGCTGCCCCGTTGTAGTTAGTTTTGGGACTTGGGGGTGTTGGTTGCTTCGGTTCCATCCACGCCCCCTTGTCTTTCCCCTGGTTCACCCTTCCTGCCTGCATCCGGTTCCTTACCGTCTGTAGGTTCGGGGCGGGGTTTTTGGTGGTGTTGAGACTCAGGCAGTCTCGGGGAATTCCCCTTCCGGGGTAGTGACGGGGGCATTTGGGCCTGTTCCTCCAGCCGTGTTGTATGAGTCTGCCAGTGGGCTCCCTTCCTTAGTGTTTTCGCGGCTGCCCCGGTTTTCTGGTACGGCCGGGGCTTTGGGGGAACGGCTCGGCCCCGGGGCCTGTCGTGTAGGTTCCCGGGGCTGGAGAGGGGCTGACTTGGGGGGCCTTGGCCCCGTTAGACCCCATGGGGGTTTTTATCCCCCTCTAGGCGGGGCTTGTGGTTACGCGGAGTGGGGTCTTTCCTCCCCACTCGCCGTACGTGCTGTTGGACGTCGGCCCCTCCCCGGGCTCGGTTCCTTGGCCTTTGAGTCGGTTGGTTCCGTCCTGTGGGTGGATGTTTCCTCCCCCCCTTTTTGGGACGGTGTTTTTGTCATGTTTCCCCGTTCGATGGGGTTCTGCGTGACTTCTGATCTCGGGTGCGCCTGCGCCTTCGTGTGCCTTCGGGACTAGTGTTGGCTTCTGTGTTCTCGAGGGTACGGGAAGGTTTTTCGCTACTTCCCGCATTATTGGAACGTCTGTCGGCTCCTCGTACTTGTCGCCCTGTTGGGCTACTTGTCGCCCTGTTGGGCTACTTGTCGCCCTGTTGGGCTACTTGTCGCCCTGTTGGGCTACTTGTCGCCCTGTTGGGCTACTTGTCGCCCTGTTGGGCTACTTGTCGCCCTGTTGGGCTACTTGTCGCCCTGTTGGGCTACTTGTCGCCCTGTTGGGCTACTTGTCGCCCTGTTGGGCTACTTGTCGCCCGGTTGGGCTACTTGTCGCCCGGTTGGGCTACTTGTCGCCCGGTTGGGCTACTTGTCGCCCGGTTGGGCTACTTGTCGCCCGGTTGGGCTACTTGTCGCCCGGTTGGGTTCCTTTTTTGGGCTCTTTGCTTCTTTGGCCGGTTTTATTGTTCCTGCTTCCTCTTTTGGCTCCTTTTCTCGTGCAGTAGTCCTGGCTGGCGCCTTCCCGCAGGGAGGGTGTGCGGTTCGGCCAGCGTGTTATGCGCATGCGCCGTGGAGTTTGTTTTGGTCTGGGCGGTGTTTCAGTGCTGGGGTTTTGCGCCCTTTTTTGCTACAGTGCTTCGCCTCTTGTTCTTCTCCCTGGCTGCGGTATGTGCCCCTTCGCGCCGGGGGCTGTCCTGGTTCCCAGTTGTGGGGAGGACACCGCGGTTTTCCCTGTGTCATGGGTGTGGACTGCCTCCTTCGCCTCTCCCTGTTCTCCTGCGGGTCCGGCAGGGTCCGGCTCTGGCGTCTTCACCTGGCGGTGCTCCCAAGTTCTTCTGGGCACGGTTGAGTCGTGTCAAGTTCGTGCCACCATTCGCCAGGTGAGTTTCTGCAGTCTGGCGTCTTTTGGCCGGGCGCTGGATGCGGCGGTGTTTATATACCTGTCTTTATTTAGGTATATTTTTGTACGACTGAGACCGTTCGCACACCAGTGACTGTCCCTTTATCACTCCTTCCTGTCCCCCTCATGTGCATGTCCAACCCATGCTGGAGTCATTCAGGGGACCCTCCTTTTTTAATGTTGTGAGGTGTGGGGGTTGTAGGGTTGGTTCTGTACTCACCTGATGAGGCTCCTGGCTGTGCTTGCAGGATTTGAGCTCTGGCTCTTGGGTCCCGCCTATCTGGTAGAACTTGCGGGATAGTACCAGTGGAGTGCAGTGGTGCTTTTGGCACTTTTGGGGAACACTGTATTACCATCAGTGGTCTGTGCTTGTTACACGGCCTACTTGCGAGCATAAGCCTTCTTGCTGGTTCGTCCGTGGACTTCCAGGGCGCACTGGCCTGTTTTCGTATGGCAGTTCCGGCCCGTCCTGGTTGTGGGGGTATGTGGGCCGGTGGACTGCTCCTAGCAGCTGCCTGGTGGGCCATCCTCTGGCCGGTCTGGCCTGACCTTGGGGCGGGCTTCAGGTGTAAAAGAGCTCCCAGTACCTCATCCAGCAGGTATCGAGCGGGGTTTCTCCGCCGTCGGTCGCCTGGTGCAGGTTTCTGGGCCTGCAAGGTTTTTGTCGTGTCTCCGTTGGCCCTGTCTGGGGTCTGCCTGCTCCGTTCTCTGCCTTTGCAGAGGGTAGTTGCTATTTACGTGTTGCAGTGGTGCCTGTTGCTGCTGCTGCTGCTGCACGTTGCATTGGTACCGTGTTTCACGGTGGCGTGTCCTTGTTCCTGTGTCCGGTTGTGGAGTGGCACTTTGCTGCCGTTTTGTGCCTGGGGATTGCGTGCGGTTTTTGTCCCTGCCTGATTGTCCACCCCTGGTTGTTCTCCTGGGGTTTTTTGTGCTTCTGCTCTTTCTTCCTGCCTCCTCTGCAGCAGGGATGTTCTGCGTGTGTTCTTAGGCGTTGGTCAGCCTATGTCCTGTGATGTGCTTCTTTGTCTCGGTCTATTGCAGTTGTTCGTGCCCCTTGGTTCGGGTCCTGTTCTGGCGGCGACCCTTCCGCCTTCTTTGGTTTTCCTAGCTTGCCCTGCCGGTTGTTGTGTTTTTTTTTTTTTTTGGGGGGGGGGGTTCTTGCGATGTCTCGCGTCGGACCCGTCGTTTCTGAACTCCTGGCGGGCTTGCATGCTTTGGGGAGTTTTTTCTGTTTGGCAGACGTTCCATCTCCTTGTGCCGCCTGGGTTTCGGTGGTCGCGCCCGAGATCTTCTCGCGGCTCCGCCTTTTTTCCTGGGCTCGGGGGGGGGGCCTTGTCGGGGCTGCTTATGTTCTGCCTTGTGGTCTCGCCTTCGGTTGGTGGTCGGGTGGCTTCGTGGTAGGTGTCCCACCTGCGTGCTTCTCTTGGCGGCAGTATGGGTATTTTGGCGGTCCTTCCTTTTCCTGTCCCTTCTTAGGTGGTTACTCTTGTTGGCTTGGTTTACTCTCGGCTTGGTTTTCTAGTGGGGGTTGGGGGCCGTCGTCTTGCCACATACTGTCGCCTCTTTTCGTGCGGCGCAGGCGGAGCCGCTTCAGCTTGCTTTCGGTCTTGGTGTTGCTTCTGCACCGTTAGTCAGCTGTCTTGTGCGTCGTTTCACCTCCGGCCTGTTCGTGCGCCGCTTGCACCATCCTGGTTTCTGGTCAGCGTGCTCTGTCTTCTCCTCGGTTGGTAGTGCCCCTTCGGTTCCGGTGTGTTTTTTCGTCGGCTCTTTCCTTTGGGCCTTTGCCTCTGGGGGTCGGTTCGCTGAGTTTTCTTGCTCCTTCGGTTTTAGCGTTTTGGTTGTTTGCTGGCAGCAGTCTCCATCTTTTCTGGCGCGGGGTGGGGCTGCTGCATTCTGGAGGGGTCCAGGGTTTGTTGGTGCTTCGTTGGTCGGGCCGGGGGTGTGTCGTTTTTGTGTTCAGTGGCGGCCCTCCGCTGTTGTTTGCGTGCCACGGCGTTTGGGTCCGGAGCGCGTTTTGCGTTGATCCGATTCTGTTCTTCCCGGTTCGCGGGTGATGGTGTCCCGGGTGGTCAGCCGTGTTCTTGCGGCTAAGCTGCCTGTGTTCTTCCCTCATGCCTGTGGCGTTCGTGGCTTCGCTGCTCTCGCTGCCGTCTGGGCGACGTGGCCTTGCAGTCTTTCGGGCTTGGATTTTTGGTGTTCGTGCAGGGGCCTTGCTGCTCGTGGTTCTCGTGTTGTTCCCGGGATTTTCGGGGCTGTGGCGCCTTGGGTTGGCGTTTGCTGCCGGTTGTCTCGCCTCCTTGGGGGGTGCGTGGTGTCCGCCTCCCGGTTTTGTCCCTTTGACCTTCCTCTGTGGGTAGTTAGCTCCGGGGAGCCGACGGGGCTCCCCCCAGAAAACCAGCGTTGAATGTAATGAAACGCCATTTTCTGGGTGAGACCCGGAGGCTCCCCGGCAACCGTCCCTCCCTCCGGTCGGCGTTTTTCGCGTCTTTTGACATCCAGCCTCAGAACTGATGGGTGGATAGCCGGCGTGGGAGGTCTGGGGCTCCCCCTTCCCCCTCCCGGGGAGGGGGGAGCTGCGCAGACAGCGGCGCGGTGACGTATGACGTCATACTAGTTTCCTTGTTTTCTGTTGAAGAGTTCTATCCACTAGTTCGGCTTAGGTAGCAATTTTCACCAGAATAGGGGTTTGTTTTGGAATGCTTACCTTTCTGGATGCTTGACCCGGTCGATGGCAGACATAGAATGCTTCCAACCACACGGGGGTTTCTATAGGCCATTGCTCCCCTTGCCTCTCTGAGGGGGCCAGGTTCTGGCTCGTGGTCCCCGGTAGGCCCTAGAACTCCATACACATGACTGATGCCAAAGTCTGACATTAGCATATCAGCCGGTAAAGCTCCGGGGAGCCTCCGGGTCTCACCCAGAAAATGGCGTTTCATTACATTCAACGCTGGTTTTTTAGTTTCCCGTCATCAGAGACTGTATTTTAACAATATAAGAAGAGAAAATACCTTTTTGGAAAGTATTTATTTTCTGTGCAACACGGGTTTGTCTTATTTTAATACAGAACTGCAATTGTTAAAAAAAAAAATTACTGCAAGTAACTAAACAATTCTTTGTGCATTTTTAGACAATTAATAATAAAAACAATGCAATATTAATGTGTTGAGTCTAAACAAATTCAAATTTAGGAGGGAAAGTCCATTGGATGAACTTGATCTATTGTTTAGAGGGATCCAATAATTAGATAATAGACCCATTATTGTGGCATGAATGCCCTTCAGTTATTAAAAAACTTTTTTCTCTTTGTTTTAGGCTGGGATATCATGCAGTACATTGTGTAATTGTGTTGGTTGTATGAACCCAGGTGTTGAAGACATAAGATTAGAAAAGGAAGTGGAATATATAGATGTAGATGCCCAAATAGATGAAACCATGGATCCATCTGTTGATGAGAAAGGATTAGAGAATGAAGAGATGTATATAGATATCGAAGCCCATGTGAGTCAAAACATAAATTCAACTGTTGAAGAGAAAGGATTGGAGGATCAAGTGGAGTGTGTAGATACAGAAGATCCTGCGAATCAAAACGTGAATCCAACTGCTGAGGACAAAGAATTGGAGAATCAAGTGCAGTCTGCAGAAGACCTAATGAACCAAGTAAAGTTGGTGTTGACAAAACTTCCCTAATTTTCTCATCATTCACCTTCAGAAATGTTCTGACCCACATAAGCAAAGTAAGTATATTATATAGCATTTCATTGTTCTCATTATGATATAGATACTGATTATGGTTCATATTTTATTATCACAGATTTTATATGCATACACTATTTTGCAAATATACTGCAATGTATTTACACACAACATTATTATTGCTGAGCAAGGCTTCCTCGGTTGCTTCTCCAGTAAGTATCAGGGGTCCATCCAGGGTGTTGCTCATATGCCAGTCTCTAATCAGCATCTGCCACCTCCTCCTCTATGACAAGGAATTTTCATGTGGTCTTCACACAGAGTTGAGAAGGGGGGCTGACAGTGAAGAGTTATCTCTGTTCACCATCAGAGCAATCATTTGCATTAAGACAAAAAAACATAAATAAACCTCTCAACATCATCTTTGTGCAGTAATTAAAATCATCAGGACCACTGTTTATTGCCCTGCTACTCATTGGTTAGTGAACTACCCACCAACCAACTGCCAGCAAGTGGTAACACTAGCAACACAAATGGGTATCCATTCCATGTAGAAATACTGAGCAGTCGAAATGCAGCTGGCTGGGCATCATCCTATGCAAACAGGTGTGCAACATCTGTGTGGCTGACACGTGATGACATTGAACCATTAGGATCCTTCATCTCTCCTAACAGGTGATAGAAGTGAACAGTAGCACACGCTGATGTGCAACTTGTCATGTGTGCAACTACACATGACATCAGGCAGGAACCATAGCATCAGAACAGCTATGAAATGAAACACACCACTCCCACCGAAGACCTCTGCAGGCAAGCATGGGCACTGCATTGGATGTGTAAAATGTAGAGCACAGCAAGTGTTGTTATCAAGTGAATGATGCAGTAGGGCAGGGTGGGGAATCCTCCTGGCATTGAGTAAGATATGGCCATGGATGTGATACTGACAGTGGATTTGAAGATGGGGCTCTTTAGGGTGGGTCACACGTATCGTATGTTAGGCTTTGCTGGTGAGGTAATGTTGTAAAAGGTCAAGCTTCCCTCTGCGAAGAGACAGTGTCCCAATACTATACTGATGTTCCCAAATAATTGTACATAGCTCAATATGATCCTTCACATATCATACGTATCAGACTTTCAAAATGTCACTCATCCCAATTACTTTAGACACATCATGTGATGTGACAACACAAATGACTTCTGCCTCCCATTGAGCACCATTTTTTTTCTGTAGTTAAATGTGTGGAACATCGGCGGCCAGTTCCTGTTGCCTCTGGCTCATATATAGTGGCATATAAATTATATGCTTTGAACAATAAAACAGTGCTTTTCCTGTTATTACACTGTATACACACTCATCATATATACTGTATCTATCAACATTTTTATGCACCATAATTGAATCAATAAGCAGTTATGATGGGTATTGTGATGAAAGCAAAACACAAAGCCACATTATAGGAGCAAATAATGCCAACAATCACCTGATACAAGAAAATGCCTCAAATGTACTTCACATATTGATATGACTAGCCACAGAACTGCTATTATTATCACATTCCTGTCACTAAATCCTGAATATGAATATTTCCAAAAAGTTTTTGGTACATTTTAAAGGAGTACGAGGTCGTTTCATGATGTGTAAATACACAAAACAATTGCTGGGTGTTCTCTCTCTCTCTCTATCTCACACTGTAAATATCATAACTAGCATTGTGTTTACTGACATCTGAAAGTTATACATAGTCTTTATCACAGTCAGGATCATCTATGATACTATCATCGCAACAAAATTGCAGTTACTTATTTTATTCATCATTAAGTGATGGTGTGGCCTCAACCTGCACAGCTGTTCTCTGAGCTCTAGCCTTGGTCATTCTGGCAGTACTGAGGCTCTCACAGCCAGGAGGGATGCAGATGAATTTCCAGAGGGGAGCCCCTACGGTTCCCTGGAGCTTATCGGGCTAATATATGTTATATTGGACCAGGACATTAGCTGTGGAATTCAGACCTACCAGGGACCATGAGCCAGAACCTAGCCCCTTCAGAGAAGTTTCAGGGAGCAATGGCCCTGGAAAAAACCCCTGTGGCTGGGAGTTTTCCTTATCTGCCATCGATCAGGGTTAGGCACCCAGAAAGGTAGGCATAACAAAATAAACCCCACATGGTAAGAAACTAACAACGAAACCGAACCGAGAGGTAGAACTCCCTACAATCCCAAGGAAACAAGCAAACGTAACACACTACTGCTGCGCCGCTCGTCCACGCAGTCCTCCCCTCCCCGAGAGGGTGAGGGGGGGGGCCGGACCTTACCGTACCGGCTGCATTGCACTTCAGTTCGTAAGTTAATGTCAACCGGGACAGACGTTTCTCTGGCCTCGGTTTCCAAGGCGGTGTTTTCCTTCGTGGCTCTCACTGCTGTGTTTTGTGCTGTGCGGTGGCCAGGTGTTCCTCATCAGTACCAGGGCTGCATGTGCTTAGGGGCTTCCTTCCCTAAGCGCCCTGTGAGTACCGCCCCTGCATGACAGGGTTATTTTCCCTGGGGTCATTCGGGAACCATTCCTGTAGAGGTTCTTGCTGCTCGGCATTTGCCTCGCCTTTCGGGCCAGCTGGGGCTTGGGGCCCATGTTTGGCCTTTGGTAGGGACTGGTATTGTGCTGGTTAGGGTGTCAAGGTGTTGCGCGACCTGCTACCTATGCGACAGCCAATTCCTGTTGCCTCTGGAGATGGTGTACTTTTGCGGGGTTTTTCTTTTGTTTTTATTTTCATTGTCTGGTGGGGTCTGCCTAATGTGGCTATAGTTCCACTGGTAGTGTTTGGTGGCCCTCTGCTAGGCCCCCGTGATTGTACACGTCGCAGGGGGTTTCAATGTTGGCATCTACCCCTTGTTAGCTTTGGGTGTTAACCGATTAGCAACACCTTGCCCGGGCTTTCCGTAGCAGTCAGCCTACAAGCCCTGGAAAACCCTGTTGGGCTCGGTGGACCACTGGATGTGTCTTCTGGGTTCCATCCCGTCTTGTGCAGGTTCGTTGGTTACTGTACCCTTGTCTCAGGGTGACAGTCGCCTCTTTTACATCCGTCATTCTGCCTGTTGGGTCATTGTCACCTTGACCCGGAGTCTTGCGAGATGTGTTCTCTGCTTGTTCTCTAGTACTCTTCTAATGTCCTTTCTGTTCAGAGTACAGGTGGCATCCATGTTGCAAGTTTGGTTTATGTTGCTGCAACATGCTAGGCTAGTTTTCCACCTGGATACCCCGGGGCTGCCCCGTTTTGGTTAGGTGTTGTTCGCCCCTTTCCCCTCCCTGTTGCTGGCTCCTGACCATCTGCGGGTTTCGGGGTTGGGGTTGGGTTTAGTTGGTGCAGAAAGTCGGGCGGATTCGGGGGCTGCCCCGTTTGGGTTGGGGACAGAGGTTTTCGAGCCTGATCATCCTGCCGAGGCTTCTGGGTCTTACCAGCAGCCCTTTCTTTGCTGCCTTTCGTCTGGACTCTTCCTTTTCAAATTTTTCGAAGAAATTGAGCTCGTAAATTGAAAAATTCATAAAGTGGGGCATTCGTAAACCGAGGTTCCACTGTACAGTAATTGTTGTTACTGTATTTGATATAAATACATATTTTCTGTACCGAATTGTGCCAAGACCTGACATAAAATAACGGGTGTTAACCCCCCCTATTAACTGAACTTGCTCCAAATAATGGAATAATCCGAGAAACAAGAAAACAGGGATCAGAATACCAGCATAGTGGAACCTTGAGTGACAAGCGGCTCTATCTACGAGCATTTCGAGTAACGAGCGAGCCACTCGCCAAAAATTTGTCTCGAATGACGAGCTTTCATTCTATTAACGAGCGAAACCACATGGTGCTACCTATTTGTTCTTGCAAATTCTCGGACGCCTCCGACGACAGTGTTGTTGCATCGTGCAGGACAAGCATCCCTCTGCATTTATTTGTGCTTTTCTTTGTTTTTTTGTAGTTTTGTGACTATAATTTGTAACACAAAATGTCGCCAAAGAAGCTGCTTGCTAAAGATAGTGTTGTCAAGAGGATGAAAGACACAAATACTGTGGATTTGAAGAAGGAAATTATAGCAAAGCACGAGCGTGGAGTCTGTGTGACTGATCTCACAAGGGAGTATGGCAGATCCTCATCAACAATTTGCACCATTAGTAAGGGAATGAGGAGGTAAGGGAGGATGCTGCCTCTTCCAGTGAGATCAGGGAAGTGTTGGGAATGTTTGAAAAGGTGACCACAGTCTTGGAAAAGCATCACCCTGATAAAGCAGTGACTAAACATGTTCACACACCGTGTTATGACAATTTGCTGTCTCGTTTTAGAGACATCCTAAAACGAAGACAAAAGCAATTGTCAATAGACATGTTCTTTGGAAAGGTAGAGAAAAGATCAGCAAGTGATAGTGAACCACAACCCAGTCCCAGTGGGGTGAAATTCCCAAGAAGAGAGAGCCCGCCTGACTCAGAGGTGGATTCTCCTTCCACACCATAACCCCTCTCCTCCTTCCCACCTCCCCATCATCTCCCTCAAGCCAGCAACGACTCTTCATAAGGTAAAGTACATGTACAATTGAAAATACAGTAGTAAAACAAAACATTTATATTTACATGTACAGTACTGTATTATACTGTATTTACATTATGAAATGTCACATTGATTTTTTAAGGGGTGGAATGGATTAATTTTATTTCCATTATTTTAAATGGGGAAATTCATTTCTAAAAGCAAGTTTTCCACATGACGAGCTTGGTGCCGGAATGGATTAAACTCGTTAATCGAGGCTCCATTGTATTGGGTGTCCACTGTATTTCCTTTTACAGATTGAGAGTAAGGTGGGTTGATCTCTGATTCTCCAGCATGTCTCAGCTCGTAGCAAGAACCACATTCTGGTCTTGCTACTTAAGAGTCTCAGAGTCCTAGTGTATCTACAGCTTGACTAGACAAGCACTCAGTTCTAAGAGCTACCAGGTGCTCCTCCAGAAATGGCATTTCACTACATTCAACTAGTCACCCAACCCACACATATGAAAATAAAGGAAGACTTGAAAACACTGATAATGGTTGAGGACTGACCAGTTGGTCCATGGTCCAGGATGCCATCAGTTCCTTTATTTTTAGAGGTGTGGGTTGGTTGTCAAATTTTCAACCATGTTATTTTGACTTGATGTCTACATTCAACTCTTTATTTTTACAGTAAGTTATTGCATATACAGTACTTAAAAATATTTTCATAAATACATATCATGAGAGACTATAATTTTTTTAAGTTAAACACCTAGCCTGATGATTACCACCGTGTAGTGAAACACGTTATAGTCTATCTTGTAAATAAATATTTCTTAATAACCTTAGAGAGATGATGTTCCAAGGTCATAAATCAATGTTACATACTGTTATTGTCATCTTCATTGAACGAACCACCAATATTGCTCATCATTCAGAAGTGAAACTAGATAAATATTTAAGCTACCTTGGATGTTGCTCCCTGTGATGTTAATGATTTTAACCTTCCACTGCTGAATATATAAAAAAAATGACATCAGTGCAAGAGGTTTACAGCTGATTATGACAAAATATATATGAAATGGGATAGCTCTAGCAATCCACCTTTTTACATCCATTTCTATGTTCACTCAACAGCTGAGTGAATATTGATGAAAATACTCTCTCCACAAAATCCAAGAAGTAGTTCAGCCTAGAGACAAGCCTCAAGATGCTCCAGCAGCTCAATGGGAGAGAAGGTGTAGCAGTTGGAATGCATTCAGTTGCTGTGGCCAAAGGTTACATCCACTACCTGTATATATATATAAATCTACGGCAATTTATTTCATCATATGGCTTCATCCATGACAAAATTGCTACATCAGGAAACCATGATAAATAAACAGTGGAGGAGCTGGCAATCTGGATTGAAGACTAACACCAGGGTCAAGCACCTATCAGTGGACTCATCATCCTGGAGAATGTGCAGCCGATCTTTAGGATGCTGTGGGAGAAGGTAGGAGAACCATTGAAGATCTTCTGTGTCAGCAGAAAACTATTTGACAAGTTCAAAGATCAGTTACAATTGCATATGATCTCAGTAATGGATGAGACAACCAACATAGACAATGTGATGGACACAGCATTCTCTACAGAGCTGAAGGTGTTTGTCAAGGTTGAAGGGTATATTGTTCACCAAGTTTCCAGCATAGAAGAGTCAGGCATATTTTAAACATTCATGGGAAAAATTGTATCTCGGACTGAGAACAGTACCAGAGCATAGTCCATTTTGAAGAGTGAAAAATTCAAGCCTGTTGCAATATTTATGTAACATACATATTTGTAATATACAAATATACACACACACACATATGTATAATGTGTGTGTGTTGCATATTGTTTTCAGTTGCATATTGGCCTTGGGACCATTCAGGCTTGTTCACACATATATATACTGTATATATATATATATATATATATATATATATACAAGAAAGTACAGTGGGTTTTGAAAGTGCATTTGTTGGTGTAATATAGATATAGTAGAGTACTGTACTAGAAAAATAGTCAGCCTTAGGCAAACTACAGTGAAAGTTTTGTTTTATGATTATTTAAACTTTGTATAAATTTTTTTTTAACAAAATAAGGAACAAATTGCACTTAAGACAACAGCGGAAGAGAAGCTTTCCAAGTGTTCTTTAGAGGCACAGCTCTCCCTTTCCCAGAACACTACTTGCTAGTCCTTTGCTCCAGATCCTAAATAATTGAAGCACTATGTGCATGGGGTTAAATAATGAAGGAACAGTACCCAGTTGTCTCGTCTTGCTCTGGACTATAACCTGAGCCTTCTCTATACAGAGATGGAGTGTTACTGAGAAATTTGAAGCTACAGTATGTGTGTATGTATGTGTGTAATTACCTAAGTGTAGTTACAGGATGAGAGCTACGCTCGTGGTGTCCCGTCTTCCCAGCACTCTTTGTCATATAACGCTTTGAAACTACTGACGGTCTTGGCCTCCACCACCTTCTCACCTAACTTGTTCCAACTGTCTACCACTCTGTTTGCGAAAGTGAATTTTCTTATATTTCTTCGGCATCTGTGTTTAGCTAGTTTAAATCTATGACCTCTTGTTCTTAAAGTTCCAGGTCTCAGGAAATCTTCCCTATCGATTTTATCAATTCCTGTTACTATTTTGTATGTAGTGACCATATCACCTCTTTTTCTTCTGTCTTTTAGTTTTGGCATATTTAATGCCTCTTACCTCTCCTCGTAGCTCTTGCCCTTCAGTACTGTGAGCCGCTTAGTAGCATGTCTTTGCACCTTTTCCAGCTTGTTGATGTGCTTCTTAAGATATGGGCACCACACAACCGCTGCATATTCTAGCTTTGGCCTAACAAAAGTCATGAACAATTTCTTTAGTATATCGCCATCCATGTATTTAAAAGCAATTCTGAAGTTAGAAAGCGTGGCATAGGCTCCTCGCACAATATTCTTTATGTGGTCCTCAGGTGATAGTTTTCTATCTAGAACCACTCCTAGATCTCTTTCTTTATCAGAATTCTTTAAAGATTTCTCACATTATATATAGGTTGATCTCACATAATATATAGGTGTGTGTGTGTGTGTATATATATGTCGTACCTAGTAGCCAGAACGCACTTCTTGGCCTACTATGCAAGGCCCGATTTGTTTGCCTAATAGGCCGAGTGGTTTTCTTTATTTTCAATAAATTGTTTGCAGTTAGTTTATTTGAATTATTGTTACTATATTATATTAAGAACATAAATTATTGACTTAGTTGAGTTAGTTTAGGTTAGGTTAAGATAGGTTAGGTTAGGTAAGGTAGGGTTGGTTAGGTTCGGTCATATATCTACGTTAGTTTTAACTCAAATTTAAACAAATTAACTCATACATAATGAAATGAATAGCTTTATCATTTCATAAGAAAAAAATTTGAAAAATATATATATTCAGGAAAACTTGGCTTATAAGGCAAATTGGGCCTTGCATAGTAGGCCGAGGATTGCGTTCTGGCTACTAGGTAAAACATACATATATATATATATATATATATATATATATATATATATATATATATATATATATATATATATATATATATATATATATATATATATAAATATATTGGTGTATACTGGCAGCAGGTTTTCTTTCAAACATGTTTCATTGAATATGACCGCATATTCTGTATTTATTATTTTCTGGTTTAGGGCTTTTATCCCTCTAACTATTTTCTTAGCATCAGGGCTTAATTGAAATAGGGTTCTCCAAAACTCATTTTCGTACTTTTAAGGTGAAGAAAAGAAGTGATTTACTATAGAGTGTATTACACTTATTTGTATAATTTGCACGACGTTTCGAACCTCCATGGTTCATTCTCAAGTGAACAGATCTTACAATACTAGTTGATTTTATACCCGCATTAGGTCAGGTGATAATACAATGAAGGTGAAAACATGGGGGGATACATAAGGGATAAACATAGGGGCTGCAGAAGGCTTATTGGCCCATACGAGGCATCTCCTATCTAAACATAAGGGATAAACATAGGGGCTGCAGAAGGCTTATTGGCCCATACGAGGCATCTCCTATCTAAACACAAAGATTAATCCAGTGTAATTGGCCTGTTATGTTGGACATTGTCTTCTGTGTTGGCATCGATATGTTCTTGTCTTGTCCTTACTCTCATGGTGGGTAGAGTAAATAGTTCCGTGATTTGGGTGTTCATGGTAGGTCGCTCTATTCTTATGTGAATTGCCTCAAGAATTTGTAATCTTCTTGAATCTTGGGTTTTGTCTATTATGCAAGAATTCTTGTTCAACATTTCTCTTGTTAGAGTAATGTCATGGGCTTGTCTCATGTGATTCCTTGGGGCACCAGATTGAAGATGGCATGTCAAACGCCTCGTCAGCTTGGTCGACGTCATACCTATGTACTTACATTGAAGGTTACATCCTTCGTGGGGGCAAGTGTACATGTATACAACGCTTGACTGCTGTAGAGGGTTCTCCGTCGGCTTCGGGCTGTTTTTGATAAGGAGTTCGGAAGTCTTCTTGGTTTTGTAGAATATTATCAGGTTTATGTTTTGGTTGGGAGTAGTGCTTTTTACTCCTTTACGGATTATTTCTTTCATTATTCTTTCCTCTTTTATATGTTCACTGTGCATGGTTGATTTGTAATATAATTTTATTGGGGGTGTTGTGGTTTCTGTTCTAGGTTCTGATTTATACCAACGGTCCAAGTGTCTTCTTATAGCAGCGTTTATTTCCGCGTTGCTATATCCGTTGTTCACCAATACCTGAGTTACTCTTTCAAACTCTCTACTCACGTTGCTCCATTCAGAGCAGTGGGTAAGCGCTCGACGAATATAAGCATTGAGAACACTGGCTTTGTATCTTTGGGGGCACTCACTTCTACCGTTCAGGCATAATCCTATGTTGGTGAACATATAAAAGAACATATGAACATATAAAACAGTGAACAAAAGAACAGTGAACATATAAAAGAGGAAAGAATAATGAAAGAAATAATCCGTAAAGGAGTAAGAAGCACTACTCCTAACCAAAACATAAACCTGATAATATTCTACAAAACCAAGAAGACTTCCGAACTCCTTATCAAAAACAGCCCGAAGCCGACGGAGAACCCTCTACAGCAGTCAAGCGTTGTATACATGTACACTTGCCCCCACGAAGGATGTAACCTTCAATGTAAGTACATAGGTATGACGTCGACCAAGCTGACGAGGCGTTTGACATGCCATCTTCAATCTGGTGCCCCTAGGAATCACATGAGACAAGCCCATGACATTACTCTAACAAGAGAAATGTTGAACAAGAATATATATATATATATATATATATATATATATATATATATATATATATATATATATATATATATATATATATATATATATATATATATATATATATATATATATATATATATATATATATATATATATATATATATATATATATAATAATTATATATATATATATATATATATATATATATATATATATATATATATATATATATATATATATATATATATATATATATATATATATATATATATATATATATATATATATATATATAATTATACATATATATATATATATATATATATATATATATATATTATACATTATATATATATATATATATATATATATATATATATATATATATATATATATATATATATTATACATATATATATATATATATATATATATATATATTATATATATTAGTATATTTTGGTAGCAGTCTTTCCTGTAGACATATATTATTAAATATGACCGAAAAAGTAAGATTAATAATTCTAACACGAATTTTCTCAATCTTTCGTACATTACGCTTCACTGTTGGAGGTAAATCAAAAATCACTTCTCCAAAATTCATTTTTATTTCTAGTCTGACGCGACACGGGCGCGTTTCGTAAAACTTATTACATTTTCAAAGACTTCACAAATACACAACTGATTAGAACTTACGTATCTCTGAGTTTATATCTACATTTGAGTGAGGTGGGAAGGGTGATGTGGCATTAGAACAAGATGGGATATTAATAGGGTATTAAAAGTATCAACACAAGACAGAACAGAAACAATGGGTATTGAATAGAAGTGTTTGTAGAAAGCCTATTGGTCCATATTTCTTGATGCTTCTATATTGGAGTGGAGTCTTGAGGTGGGTAGAATATAGTTGTGCAATAATTGGCTGTTGATTGCTGGTGTTGACTTCTTGATGTGTAGTGCCTCGCAAACGTCAAGCCGCCTGCTATCGCTGTATCTATCGATGATTTCTGTGTTGTTTACTAGGATTTCTCTGGCGATGGTTTGGTTATGGGAAGAGATTATATGTTCCTTAATGGAGCCCTGTTGCTTATGCATCGTTAAACGCCTAGAAAGAGATGTTGTTGTCTTGCCTATATACTGGGTTTTTTGGAGCTTACAGTCCCCAAGTGGGCATTTGAAGGCATAGACGACGTTAGTCTCTTTTAAAGCGTTCTGTTTTGTGTCTGGAGAGTTTCTCATGAGTAGGCTGGCCGTTTTTCTGGTTTTATAGTAAATCGTCAGTTGTATCCTCTGATTTTTGTCTGTAGGGATAACGTTTCTATTAACAATATCTTTCAGAACCCTTTCCTCCGTTTTATGAGCTGTGGAAAAGAAGTTCCTGTAAAATAGTCTAATAGGGGGTATAGGTGTTGTGTTAGTTGTCTCTTCAGAGGTTGCATGGCTTTTCACTTTCCTTCTTATGATGTCTTCGATAAAACCATTGGAGAAGCCGTTATTGACTAGGACCTGCCTTACCCTACAGAGTTCTTCGTCGACTTGCTTCCATTCTGAGCTGTGGCTGAGAGCACGGTCGACGTATGCGTTAACAACACTCCTCTTGTACCTGTCAGGGCAGTCG